TTCTGTCGTTTTTGAGGTTACACCCAAGTACTGTATTTTGGACTCTTTTGTTGACTATGAGGGCTACTCTGTTTCTTATAAGGGATTCTTTCCCACAGTAGTAGATATAATGGTCATCTGAGTTAAATTCACCTTTTCCAGTTGATTTAGTTCACTTTACTAAAATGTCAATGTTCACTCTTGCCATCTCCTGCTTGACCACTTCCAATTTACCTTGATTCATGGATCTAACATTCTAGGTTCCTATGCAGTATTGTTCTTTACAGGATAGGACTTTACTTCCATCACCAGTCATATCCAAAACTGGGTGTTGTTTTTGCTTTGGCTCCATCTCTTCATTCTTTCTGGAGTTATTTCTCCACTGTTCTCCAGTAACATATTGGGCACCTACTGACCTGGGGAGTTCATCTTTCAATGTCCTATCTTTTTGCCTTTTCTTACTGTTCATGGGATTCTCAAGGCAAGAATACTGAAGTGTCTTGCCATTCCCTTCTCTTGTGGACCATGTTTTATCAGAACTCTCCACCATGACCATCTGTCTTGGGGGGCTGTCTGTCTTGGGTGGCCCTACACTGTATGGCTCATAGTTTTCATTGAGTTAGACAGGTCTGTATTCCATGTGGATTCTGAGGCTTTACAGAAGGAGCAAGTCTATTCTGAAGCTGGGAAGAATATAAATAGTTTGAGTCAAGAGTGCAGACTGTGCTAAATGAAAGAGGGTCCCAAATTCTTTCCTATTCTTCCTATGGAGGGATGGAGCTTAACTTTTTTCCCTTAGTCACTGGGCTGGCCTTAGTGATTGATTGCTCTATAGAAGACAGTGAAAGCAAGATTCCCAGATTTCCAAAGCTAGGTTTTATGAAGACCATGTGGCTTCCATCATGACTTCTTAGATGGTTTGCTCTCAAAATGCTCCATTTCTGAAGCCCGCTGCTGTGCTGTGAGTAGCCCAGATATATATGGAAAGGCTGGGTATAGGTGCTCAGACCTAACAAACAAATGGAGAATGTGTGAGTTACTAAAAGGTGGTACTGATAAAACTGCTGTTGTTGTTAGTCACTCAGTCATGTCTTCTGACTCTTTGTGAGCCCATAAACTGCAGCCCACCAGGTTTCTCTGTCCTTTACTATCTCCCTGAGTTTGCTCAAACTCATGTCCATTGACTCAATGATGACATCCAACCATCTCATCCTCTGTCACCCCCTTCTCATGCCCTCAGTCAAACTAGCTATATGTGAAAAATTCAAAGTAAAGATAGATCCTTTTTTCTCACCCCACAGCAACATAAATTGCAAGTAAATGAAAAACTTAGTGTAGTGTTTAAAACCAGAAGAAAGAACTAAATGGAATTTCCTTGATCTACAGGATGGAAAGGACATTTTAGTATAAAAGTAATGGGAAAAAATACAAAGCTAATTATCTATCAATTTTGACTAAAAAATAATTTTGAAATCTTCTATAAAAATAGATGAACAGTCCAAGTTTGATGCATGAAACAGGGCACTCAAAGCCGGTGAACTGGGACAACCCAGAGGTATGGGATGGGGAGGGGGCTGGGAGGAGAGTTCGGTATGGGGGACACATGTACACCCGTGGCTGATTCATGTCAATGTATGGCAAAAACCACCACAGTATTGTAAAGTAATTAGCCTCCAATTAAAATAAGTTAATTAATTAAAAAAACTATAAATATTCAATAGAAAGGACATAAAAAACACCCCAAATAAAATGTTTTAATTTTGTTTTATTGCCTTTAATATCCATTTTAAAAACACAAACACCCCAGTAGGAAAAAGACAAATATATTAACAGGATAATTTGAAGAATAATTACTCATGGTTAAAAATCAGATGAAAAAAAACAGTCGATCTTGCTAGCAACCAAAAACACACACAGAGAAAATGAGATTTTCACATAGAAAATGAGATTATTCTGTGCCAGTGATATTGCTGCTGCTGCTGCTGCTGCTGCTGCTGAGTCGCTTTAGTCGTGTCTGACTCTGTGCGACCCCATAGACAACAGCCCACCAGGCTCTGCTGGAGTGGGTTGCCATTGCCTTCTCCAATGCATGAAAGTGAAAAGTGAAAGTGAAGTCACTTAGTAGTGTCTGACTCTTCGCGACGCCATGGACTGCAGCCTACCGGACTCCTCCGTCAATGGGATTGTCCAGGCAAGGGTACTGGAGTGGCTTGCCATTGCCTTCTCTAGCCAGTGATATTGCTAATGATTAAAATCAACAATGATACTGGGACAAAATATGGTGGTTAAGAGCATGGACTCAAGCCACCCCATCCTTTCTTCCTTCTTTCCTTCCCCTGTGTACACTCTCCATCTCCAGGTCTCCATCCAACTTCTGATTTTCTCCCTCTGTCTCTTTTCCAGTCTGCCAATACTACACCCTGCACTATCTGTCTCAAAAAAAAAAAATGTGGACTCTAGAGTCATGGAGACCTCGACTGGAATTCCACCCTCTCCATTTAGTTGGTCAAGTTATTATCTTCACTGGGCCTCAGTTTTCTCATCTGTAAAATAGGGATAGCAATAGTTTCTTTATTCTAACAGACTTGTATTACTTGAGATCATTTAATGGAAGTGTGCAGTAAGTACTACAATATTTTTTTAAAGATATTTTTTGTGGACAATTTTTAAAGTCTTTATAGAACTTTTTTCAATATTGTTTCTGTTTCATGCTTTGGTTTTTTGACCCCGAGGCTTGTGGGATCTTAACTCCCCAACCAGGGAGAAACCCATGCCTCCTGCACTGGAAGGTGAAGTTTTAACCACTGAATCACCAGGGAAGTCCCAGTACTACTAGTATTAATGACGATACTGAAGATGTTACATTTTTGCTGTGGTTATGTATCAGATATTATGGCTGGTGTGTTCTACATAGGCTGCCTTATGTAACTGAGAGTTTAGGACTTGGGGGAGTTGCTTCTTAGCATTACTCTGTTTAGAGAGGTAATACCTAGGTGGCACTAGTGGTAAAGAACCTGCCTGCCAATGCAGGAGACATAAGAGATATGGGTTCGATCCCTGAGTCAGGAAGATCCCCTGGAGGAGGGCATGGCAACCCACTCCAGTGTTCTTGCCTGGATAATCCCATGGTCAGAGGAGACTGGCAGGCTACAGTCCATTTAGAGAAATCACCAGCAGGACCATTATATTTTAAGCTCTTACTGTATCCCTCAATCCAGTTTAACCTAGAACCTGGGACAGACATTAAATGGTCCAGGGCAGAGGCAAGAGTTCCCAGGAGGACTGCTGGTCAGGCTGGAGTGCACAGCATCCCAGCTAAAGGCCTCAGAATCTCACCCCTGAGTTCCCCATCTGAGAGCTTAACCCCTGGGAAAGAGATGCCCTCTATTCCCCCAGGACCCCAGCAGAACTGGCTGGAGAACAGGCTGCACGGGGACACTGAGGTTGGCGTTAATGAGCACTTTGGGGATGATGTCCTAGGGATCTTTAAAACCCCAATAAAGACTCCTGTCTTCCCAGGTCTGAAAAATTCATTATATACTCCAGGTATTCCTGATGACCCCAGGACTCCATAGACCCCAGCTTTACAAGATCAGAAAGATCTCAGAGAGTTCCTTATTGTGAATCTCCCATCCATAGGAGAGAATTGGAGAATCTGAAGACGCTTGAAACCAGTCCACACTCTGATAGGTGAGAGAATCTGGAAGGGTAGGGCACAAACACACACACTTGTGCAAACACCTCCCTTCCCAGCACAAGGACCAGGTAGAAGTTTCTAGGGTAGCCGACCTGAATGCCTAAGATTAGAAGCCTCTCTATAAACCAAAAACAAATGGAGTACTAATGCAGTGGCAAAATCCAATAAGGTCTGGGCGGATGTGAAATGACATCTTATACCAGCTTGCTCCAAATCCTAGGAGAACTGAGGATCAGAGTGGCCATTTTCAAGCCCAGAGAACCAGACACTGATTCCTTCTACCTTCCCTTTGATGAAAAGAAACATCAGAGAGTTAGAGTACAAGTGTAGACGGAAGGCATAGATATTGAAGTCAGACACACCTGCTGTTGAATCGCATTCATGTACTTTTTGATCTTGAGTACATCAAATATTTCTAAGACTCAATTGTACGATTTGCAGAATTGTGGAGGAGAATGATACCTACCAGACTTGAAAGAACAGAAACCATGCCATCAAGTTCTCTGGAACATAGCAAGCATCTACAAAGAGGTACCGATCATGCTCATGTCCAAGAGACTGGGGGAGAGAAATATCAGTTTTCAAATGTCTAGAAGTGCCACAGGGGAAGACGTCAGCAAAAAAGGAGAGAGAGCGATGAGGGTCAAGGGCTGGCAGCCCTGCGCTGGTTGTCTTACTGTGGATGCAGAGAATGGAACATCATAGACACTCCCTGCCCTCAGCCCATATACCCATGCCCCCAGTAAGGTAAGAGTCCATGGAGTGGAGCTAAATGGGTGAAGTCAAGTTCTAGGGATTGAGGAGGCCAGTAGAAATAGACTGTCTTGTCTATGGTGTATGTCAAGGGGTGGGTGTTAGGGGAGGGGCAGCAAGGATTATCATGCATCTCCTTTTTACTTGGTGAGCAAAAGCGATTTTTCCAACCCTGCCTTTAAGGATATGCTCAATTCTTATCTCCTCCAATTGCCATCATGGACTTCTCTGGTCAAACTGATCACTTTCCTGGGGATCCTATTATATACAGCTGTGAAGGCACAGTTCATATTTGCATGGGTATTGGTTTGCCTGTTCTCTAATGCCCCATGTGTATTTTCCCACATCTTCTTTTTTTCCTGGAACAGTTTGGGCTACACAGATGTTATCTGTGAATTGATCTAATATGTAAATATTGACACGTGGAAGTGTTTTATCTGCACATATAGCAAAACTACAAAGGATGGGAAAACCAAGCAGAGTGAACCAAACCACCCTTTCAGACTTCCTCCTTCTAGGGATCTCTGAGCGGCCAGAGGAGCAAACTCTCCTGTTTGTCATCTTCCTGGGCATGTACCTGGTCACTATGATGGGAAACCTGCTCATCATCCTGGCCATCACCTCTGACCCTCACCTCCATACTCCCATGTACTTCTTTCTGGCCAACCTATCAATAACAGATGCCTGCTTCACTTCTGCCTCCATCCCCAAAATGCTGATCAACATGCATACTCAGAGTCAGACCATCTCCTATTCTGGGTGCTTTGCACAGCTGTATTTTCTCCTTGTGTTTGGTGGCCTTGACAACTTACTTCTGGCAGTGATGGCATATGACCGCTATGTGGCCATCTGTCAGCCACTTCATTACAGCACGGCTATGAGTCCCCAACTCTGTGCATTAATGTTGAGCATTTGCTGGGTGCTAACCAACTGTCCTGCCCTGACACACACACTATTGCTGACCCGTGTGGCCTTCTGTGCCCACAAGGCCATTCCCCACTTCTACTGTGATCCCAGTGCTCTCCTGAAGCTTGCCTGCTCAGATATCCGAATTAACGAGCTGATGATCATCATCATGGGCCTGATGTTCCTCACTGCTCCCCTCCTGCTGATTGTCCTCTCCTATGTCCGCATTTCCTGGGCTGTGTTTGGCATCTCATCTCCTGGAGGGCGGTGGAAGGCCTTCTCGACATGTGGTTCTCACCTCACAGTGGTCCTGCTCTTCTATGGGTCTCTTATGGGTGTGTATTTACTTCCTCCATCAACTCACTCTGCGGAGAGGGAGAGCAGGGCTGCCATTCTCTACATGGTGATTATTCCCATGCTGAACCCTTTCATATACAGCTTGAGGAATAAAGATATGAATGAGGCTTTGAGTAAACTCTTCGGCAGTGGGAAAACCATCTCTTTACCATGACCAATCCTGGTATCTGAATTAACCCCTGCTCTCCATCATTTGAATGACACCACTATTCTCAGACTGATTTAAGGGAAAGTTATCAAGACATTTAAAAATTAGGTGTTCAACAAAGAAGGTATTTCCATTCTTTCACTGGGCCCCTGGCAACCACCATTCTATTCTCTGCTTCTATGATTTGACTGTGTTAGATGCCACAAGTAAGTAAAATCATACAGTATTTGTCTTTCTGTGTCTGACTTATTTCACCTAGCATAATGTACAAAATTACAGTTATGTAAGATGAATGAGTTTTTTGAGATCGAATATTCAGCAAGATGACTATAGTGAACGACACTGTATTGTGTGCTTGTCATGTACTATGAAGGTGGCTCTTGAATTAAGTCTTCTCACCAAACACACAAAAATAAAATGGTCATTATATGGAGGTGATAAATACATTAATTAACTTTACTATGGTGATAATTTAACAACATATACGTACCAAAATATCAAGCTGTACATTTTAAATACATACATTATTTATATGTCAAATATACCTCAATAGTGAAAGTGACTCACTCGTGTCCAACTCTTTGTGATCCCATAAACTATACAGCCCATGGAATTCTCCAGGCCAGAATACTGGAGTGGGTAGCCTTTCCCTTCTCCAGGGGATCTTCCCAATCCAGGGATTGAACCCAGGTCTCCCAAATTGCAGGCAGATTCTTTACCAGCTGAGCCACAAGGGAAGCCCATATATCTCAATAAAGTTGTTTAAAAAAGAACTAATAATTTCTCAGGAAATAAGACTAGAGAGTTAAGTTCTACTAGTGATGTTAATTTCTCAATTTAATACACAAGAGCTATCATTAATAATAACTAGAATTCACAATTTATATAAAGAATTACTAAGACAAGAGAATAATTAGAAACAAATGCAATTCAAGCTGTCATATATTTTCTGAGTATTTATTCCAGCTTACCACTTCTCCTAGTTAAGTCACAGCTTGGGAAGTGAAGAAGGATTTTTCTCTTAAGTGGAAATTCCTTTTTGATTTGCTGCTTTTAAAATTAAATCTGCTTTATGATGGAAATCCAAATATAGTAACATAGACATGAAAACGAAGGATACAAAGTACTTCACACTTCTGTTATTCATTTTTTATCCTTCTAAAATGGTTCTTATTCATAAAATTTTATGTTTGCATAAATGGGATTTATTTTACATGGTATTTTATAGCTTTCCTTTTCTATAATAATTTAGTTTTATTGTATTATAATATCTACATTTCTGCTTCAATATATATCAATACATAGAATGTACACAGTATCAATACAGCAATCCACTTAAAATTTTTAAGTTTTAGTTGATCTCCTATTGAATTAACACAATAATTTATTGTGAAACTTTATTAACAATTATACTACACTTGAAATGTCTTGTGTCAGTTGTCTGATCAAGGTTACTTTCATATCTCGAAAGCATCTATTTTAATGAGCTCCATTGTCTTAGTTCCCCAGTGCTTGTGGCTTGCTCCTTTGAAAAGAGAAACATGAACTTTGATGAAGAATGGAAGTCTAAGTTGAACCCCATGGAAAGAGAGACAACAAAGCCAGATTGTCTTCATTCACCTAAGGGATTGCCTACGTCAGAGCTTACAGAATGAAATAAATGAATGATAAAAGAAAGTTGCTATCAAAATATACTACATATGTATCAAATATCAAGCTTCTTCCAAAATTTCTGACTTCCATCTTCATACTTCAAACAGACTAGAGTTGGGGACATCACCTTAGCCTTAAATGTCACTCCAGATGCTGGTTGCATACTAATTAGTCTTATATTTATGTACAAAATTGGATAAACATATTGCATTTTACATAGGGCAGACACACACACACAAAGAGAAAAGGAAAAAATGGGTAAAGTAGCCTCAATGCCCATAATATTGGATTCAAGATAAATTCTATCCTTTGTGCTGTGTAAAGAAACATGGCAAGGTAAATGAGGGCTTTTAGACATGAATAGCATCACACAACAAAACCTTTATAGTGTCCTGTCAAGAACTCAAGTGGGACTTCCCTGGTGGTCCACTGGATAAGAATCTGCCTGTCAATACAGGGGACACTGGTTTGATCCCTAGTCCGGGGAGATTCCACCTGCCCTGGAGCAACTAAGCTCCTGAGCCACTAAGCATCTGAACCACAACTGCTGAAGCCTGGGTGTGTAGAGCCTGTACTTTGCAACAGGGGAAGTCACCGCAGTGAGAAACCCGCACACCACAACTAGGGAGTAGCCCCTGATTGCTGCAACTGGAGAAAGCCCACACAAAGCAACGAAGACCCAGCATAGCCCCAAATAATTAAATATTTAAAAAGAACTTAAAGGTCCCTTTGCGGAGGTACAGATGCTCTGAAATCAACTAATTCTCTATAACAGATGTACAGTTTTTGGCAGCATATGTGAAATAACTGTTAGTTTAAAATATTAAAATGGGGAAGGGGAAGGAAGGGATACACATATAATTATGGCTGATAAGCATTGTTGTACAGCAGAAACCAACACAAACTTGTAAAGCAATCTTCCTCCAAATGAAAAATAAATTAAAAAACAAAATATTAAAATGTTTTTGAGTGACATTAGCAAAGTTGCAAGTCACACTGAAACTCCACGTAACTTAATATAAACAAGAAGCCACCAATGAACATAGAATAGAATCTTTTTCAAAGCTTTGGTTTTTTTCATTGAACATACAGTCAGCAGTGTCTGATACGTCTGTAAGTGTGTGTGAAAGAGAGAAGAGAATCGGATAGCTCAGGAAAGATCTTCTTCTATTAGAAATTAAAAGGGGGAATTTACTGTAGCTAGAATTAATCTGAAAATATCACCATGAACCACTGATTCCTTTATTCCCCAAATAATCCAAGTGTTCTCTTGTTTCACTCTACCCACTCTCTCAGAATTCTTGGAAGATGTTACCTGCATCCTACCACTTCCATTGTTTAATTTTTCACTGATCCTCAAATCATTGTTCACAAATCTGCAGTGTCCACATATTGTGGGAGCTTGTTAGAAATGCAAATTCTTGGATCTCATCCCAGAACTACGAAATTGGAATTCATGGAGATAGATTCAGGAATCTCTGTTTTAACAAGCTTTCAAGGAATTCTTAGGCATGTTAAAGTGAAAAGCCTTGCTTTCATTCTTTATTTGGGAAAGCAAGAAGTCCAGGAAGGATAGAGAGTGCTGACTCTGCAGTGATATTAACAAAAACCAATGATGTTTTCAGAGATTATGCACTGGAATAATCTAGTGCATTTCATTATACATACAAAGGAGGCCAGCACTAAGTGTACTTTCATTGCTGACTATATTTGGGGGTTAATCAATGTCAACCACACAGTGCTGGCAAAGGGGAAATTCCTGGCCAGTCTTGATCTCCTCCAGGTTCCCCTATCATCAGAGATGTTTTTATAACATTTTATACCACAGGCAGAAAGTTATGCATTTCCTTTTATTTAAGTGACAGTTTGGATTCTATGATTTAATAGACCCATAAAGACAAAAAGAAAATCCTGCATTGTCTGCATAAGAGTGTAGTGTAATAATATAGGTAATTCTTTAGATTCTCGGGGTGTGAAAGCCTGAGATTATGGGCCTAAAATATATCAGTTTCCAAAATTCTCCTCAAATAAAAGATAACTAAATGACCTGTATATTTCTGTATTATTAATGCCCCCAAGTTGTAGAAATAAGTAATAAAATTAATTTAGCATTTTATGATCAAAAGTTGTTTCCGAAGGAGAGCACTGTTTGTTTTTTTAAATTTTTTATTGAAGTATAGTTGATTTACAATGTCGTGTTAATCCCTGCTGTTCAGCAAAGTAATTCAGTTATACAGAGATACACATTTAAAAAGTATTTTTTACTATGTGGTTTATCATAGGGTACTGAACATAGTTCTCTGTGCTATACAATAGGACATGGCTGTTTATCCATTCTATATATAATAGTTTACATCTGCTAACCCTCCTGTCCATCCTCCCCCATTTCTCTTCCCCTTGGCAACCACAAGTCTGTTCTCTATGTCCATGAATCCATTTCTGTTTCATAAATAAGTTCATTTGCATTATATTTTAGATTCCATGTATAAGTGATAGTGTGTGTATTTGTCTTTCTCTTTCTGAGTTACTTCATGTAAGTATGATTGATAATCTCTAGGTCCACCCATGTTGCTGTTAATGGTGTTATTTCATTCTTTTTATGGCTGAGTAATATTCCATTGTATATATATATACACCATATCTTCTTTATCCCTTCATCTAAACGTTGGTGGACATTTAGATTGCTTCTATGTCTTGGCTATTGTAAATAGTGTTGCTATGAACATAATAAGAGTGCAGATATCTTTTTGAATTACAGTTTTGTTTGGATATATGCCCAGGAGTGGGATTGCTAAATCATATGGAAATTCTGGGAAACCTCCATCCTGTTTTCCATAGTTACTGAACCAACTTACATTTCTACCAACAGTGCAGAGGGTTCCTTTTACTCCACACCAGGAG